TAGGCGATGGAGATGCACTGACTCAGCTGCGAGTTCTCTGCGATCATGAGAAAGACGAGATTAGCGCAACGAATTATGAAATTGAAATTACTCCAAAAAGTGTTTGGCGATCGATACGATACGAGCTACGATTCCGAATTCGAATCCGAAGACCAAGAGTCAGCACATTTCCGTAATACCAACGAGTCATCGTGGATCAAATGCGATGTGCCGACGCCTGATATTTGTGTTTACACGTATATATATTCGTATATCTCGGGACCCCATCCTCTCGAGATGCGCTAATCTCGGAAAGGCCCCCGAAAAGAGGGATCCCGCCATCTTGGCCAATCCAATGCGATCTAATTAATCAACATTCACCGGCCAAACAGTGTCAAATAGTTCGGGGGTCGCTTTGTAATTGCTACCATTTGAAATGGAAATCGATGTGGTTGCTGTTGCTGCCTCGCCCATTCGATTGTCGATTGTGTGTCAACTGTGACACGGACGGTGACTGTCACCTCGCCGGCTGAGGTGACTGCAATCGATCATGGGACCCTGGCCTCCACTCACATGGCTCTTTGTGGCCCTCGGTCTCTGATTAGCCGCCGCATTTACCCGGCATTCCACGCTTGACATTTTCCCGAAACCGAACAACTCGATTGTCGGCCAATTAAACGGTTACCAAACTGATTGTGATTGTAGCCAAGCGAGAGATCAAGCCAAAAAATGCCCTGATTACGGTGTAAATTTGTTGGAATTACATTTAGGTATTAAACGATTTCGTATCTCAGTTCATTAATTTGTAGAAATTATGATTTTAGAGTTTTACATTGTTTATTTACTGTGCGCAAATTTAAGATATTGATCAAAACTGTCTACTTCTGGAAGTTTAAAATCATTCAAGATGTCTAAAATGCCTTTAAAACTTTAAATAATTGTTGTTCCTACTCCAAAATATTTATTGTAACGTAAATCATTTGATATTCTGTCAATTCATATAATTTCATACATCAGCTCATTAATTTGTGGAAATTATGATTTCAGCGATACACGTTGTTTATATTATTTAAAGTTATAATTGAAGATATTAATCAAAACTGTTTATTGTCGGAAGTTTAAAAGCAATAAAGAAAATGTTTTCAAAATATATTTTAAACTTGAAATAACTTGTTATGCTCCAAAATATTAAGTGTAATATTTCAACGTAAATCATTTGATATTCTGTCCGCTTTTCTAATTAACTACTAAATGAATATTTTATCGCTGGCAACCCACCAAAAGAAAACGCAAGTTGAGCCGGACAAACATTTTCGTTGGCACCTTCCTTGACCATTTCGGTCGGCGTCACCTGTCCAACGCACGTTCGAAGCTGTCGCTGGTGCGTTAAAAATGATTAATTAAGGCATTTGAAAATCATTTGTCATTCTTAATTTATTAATTAATTAGAATTGCCCAACACGTACATTGACACCTGAGGCGGACTCGAAGCTCCGAGTTTGAGACCCTTGTCTGGGGCGATAAAGAACCGGTTTGGAACCCCAAGGGTACCAGATATTGCGTCAAACTACACTATATATTGCATCAAAGGGCTGCAGTCCAAAAATATCAAAGGACGGAATATATTTATTTTTAATTTAATTGCTTAATGTTTACTATACTATTTAATCACCTTTTTTGGATTAATATGTTGGCTCTAACGAATAAGAAGTTTTACATTTGGGTACTATTTGAATGCCACATTTTTTTACCCTTTTTACCCAATCGGGTATTCTATTTGAAAGTACATATTTACATTGCATTTTTAAATTAATATTGAAGCGGTTTAACGGTTATTGCTAACGGTTCCAGTTTGTTTTACATTTTAATTCACCACTCTAGCTCAGTGGCGCCAAACAAAATAAGCAACACGTCTACTTTTGGAACTGACAAAGAATTTACATAACAAATTATGTCAAATTACACAAAATAAATATTTTACATCAACGGCGATACATAAAAAAAAAAGTTATTCATAGGTTCGAGTATACGCTAACAGAATGAAGGTTCGCACCTTTACTAGAAAGTTTTAAATGGTTCGTGTCTATTGTAAATGCCTAATTTGAATTAGAGCGGTAAACGAATCTAATTTTTGTAAATCGATAGATTAAATCGATCCAAAATCGAAACAAAAATACTTAAAAACAAAAGGAATTTAATAGTGTCATTGAGTAATATTGTAATATTTTCGTTTATTTGCATTTGTCCAATCCCTATCGCCTTTTGGAGATGAAAAGTTCTTTAAAGGAAACCAGACTGGACGATGCATGTATTCCCTAGCAAAAGGAATAGATTTTTTCTGGCGTCCAAAAACATCGATTAAAACGATTCTAAAATCAAATTGTAATCAGCTCTAATTTGAATTCTTTTTGGGATATACTTTTCCAAAACCAATATGAGGTTTTTTTGGGATCTGTAAGAGCCACAGATTCTGAATGTACTTTTAAATGTTTAATTATTTTTACAATTATAATTTCATTGGCATTTCGCCAAAAGACATTCAATCACGTTCCAGTTCACAGCGCTGATGAGCAAATAAAACTATACGCGTATAATTCATTATGAGCAGTCCCAGAAGTTCCATTGTAATACGCTTTGACTCGGTTCGATTTACGATCTTACCGGACAATGGATCATCGATAGCCATAAGGAAGTCCAGGTTGGTCCGACAGCTGCTGCTGGACCCCCGATTTATGACCATTTACAATGTTTTTATAGCTTAACCATTTTGAGTAAGCAGCTTTTAAGTGTCGATTTGAAGGCCCTTTGGTTGCACCATCATCTGTTCGTAGTTCCACCGATCGATAAAACTCATATTTAATTTTGGGTAGCCCTCCCTTCCTCGGTTCTTGGTTCCGTATTTCCTGAGTTGGCCAACATTATTAAGACATTAACGATAAGAATCTCGAGTTTCAGCTTAGCTTGCACAGCATGTAGGTACTCAAACTATTATTATTTAATAGTATTTCTTTGAGCAATTCAAATGTATGCGACTTTACGAGTTGATTCAATCGTCTTAAAGAACTGTCAAATCATTCAAATAAATGGGCCCCCTGCTTCCCACACCCCCAACTCTGCTTTCGAAGGTGTTTGAATAGTCGTGAGGCACTAAACAAAGAAATCCAATGTAAACAAATATAGAAAATCAATAAAAAAAATTATATTGACTTTAATGCGAGCGGCGCTAAGAATATCTAAGATTTCCAGACGAACAAAGAATACAAAACAATGGTTAATTAATTAAATGATTAATGACTAATTATAGTTTTTTGAAAAAATTAGTTATGGTTATAAAAACAAAAATTTATGAGCTAAAACTCATGATCGTCTCTTTCATTAAAAACAAAAAAAAATGAATGTCCTTGCGGATGTTTTTAGAAACTAAATTAAACCTAAAATCACGATGTGAAATTTCTTCAACTGGACATACTCTTAAGTAAAATTATATTCAGTGGTTGATATGGTGGCATAAAATGGATTTGATGTTGTTTCCCAATTTGGAAAAAACAAGAAAATTAGACATTTTTAGGAAATTTGACAAATAGATGCCAATAGAATAAATCAACAGAGTTTTGTGGATCTCAGTTAGCAACAGCAATTGACACAGTTGGTTGGATAAATATATTATTAGGTCAATAAAATAAAGAAAATAACATGTAAAACCAATATTCACTAATTAATAAAATCATAATAATTATGGTTAGGGGCATTTGCTATTAAGCTAAATAAATATATTTATTTATGATTCGATTTTTATTTCTTATAGGGTTATTTAACATAATAATATTTTAAGCTATTATTTTACTTCTTCTTTTAAAAAAAATGTTCAGGGAAGTTTTTGATATAATTTCCTGTAATGTGTGAATATTTTTTCCAAGTACTGTCGTTTGTCCAGCGACTTTTCGAGTGGGCGTCAGAGATGAATTAAAATTCTTGCTCAAACTTTCTCCTATATGGAAAACAAAGAGCATCGTTATAACTTTAAAGTCATCGCGAGACACGTAGCCAATGCATTCGTCGGAAGGTGACAGCTGCACTGATCTGGAGCTCGACTCGTGGCAGCTGGGGCGTATGATTGATGTGATGATGACACCACTGCCAAGTTGGTGGTAAATCACAGTTACAGACAAAGGCGATACCGTTATGAATCGCTAATGGCAATCAATCATTGCTGTTTTCCATATCCATATAGATATCGATAACTTTCTGCCACGGAAAGTTCGCGTTGGCAGACGAATCGGTGCCAAGTCGTGTGATTTCGATTGCCCAGAAATGATGGACAATAAAATTCTGATCTTTATGGATGCTTGGCATCACAAGGCGAGCATTTCCATTAGGTTTATGTCAGTTTTAAAGATTGTGTCCCGCTTTTAGGGTACCTGCTTTGAAGTTAAATCCACGATTGGTGGGCGTTACACGGCTCATCTTATTTTATTTTTATTTCACTTGCTTGATTGAAGCTAATTCTTCCAAATCCCGGGGATTTTTATACGACCACTTTCAAAAAGAACATGGGTTATATGAAATGGGACTTTATTGATTTACTGGTAATCTTTCATTTTAATTATGGGATTATATTATTAGGCATTATAACTTCTTTAAGCCAAATCTAATTTTAATTTGTTAATGCCTATTAAAAATATTAATCAAGCAAATACTATATAAATCTCGAAAAATAGCTAAAACTTCTAAAGTAATTAAATATTTTAAAATAAAATTGGAACACGAACTTCTCTTACAATATTGAACACTTTTAGACCTTGGTATTGTTTAACAGCACACAATAAAGCACACGCAACCCATCGAATGTCTGTTTCAGGTAAAATATAGTTAATTGTTTTCGACATATTGAAAATATTGCACGTGGAAAAGCAGTTAACACAAAGTAGATCAATATGGCCGAAATATTTCCGCTATATAAGCGACAGTCCTTTTTTGACCAAATCAGTTTAAATCGAACGTTCGTAGATTAGCAACTAAAAATGAAATTCCTTTTGGTCTTGGCCTGTCTGGTCCTCTACATTTCCCTCAGCTCTGCCCAGGAGTGCCAGGGTCGTCCTCGTAAGTTAATTCGCAATAACCTAAAATGAAACAAAATATTTACATCTTTTTTAATTAGGTCACCCGGACTGTCATGGCGGCAAGGACGAAGGAGTTCGTCATAAACACCATTGCACTAATAGCCAACCCAATGAGGAGATGTGGTACTACAACCGTCACACAAATCAATGCTTAAAGATGAGGTACCTTGGATGTGGTGGCAATAACAATCGCTATTGCTCCTTGGTCAGTTGTCAACGGGCCTGCATTCGACGATCCTAAAAAATTATATTCTTGTTCTGAAATAAAATAATCAAATGCATTAATAAATTTGTGTCACTTTCAAATGATTTATGAATCGTTATAATTAGTATTATAAAGGGTTGCGCTGGGTTAAGGTATACTAGGTAAACAATTTTTGACCTAAAATGATTAAATAAAATTAACAATCTATCATAGGAGAAATTGTTGCAGTTGAAGTGGCGATCGTCCCGACTTTTTAACCTCTTAATGGGATATTTTGGTTTTATTTAACTTAAACTACTTTGTTTTTAAAACATTGAAACGTTTTAATGTTTGTTAGCTATTAATTTAATTATATATTTACTTAGCAAGCCCCATTGCACTGAAATACCAGACAATTGTGTAATCACTCGCAGCACACCAGGCTGCACCCAAATTAATCAGCACACCAACAATCGAAATAAAAGCAATTACAAGGAAAAACTCACGCAATGCAGTTTGACATTTAACCGAAATCTTAAAGAGATCCACCGATGCAAACGCAATCAATCATTAGCATTTTTTGAAAAATTAATTCTCTTATTTTATTTCTTCTTTTTTGACATGAAACACCGCCCACGCAACTCGTGTATCAAATGCTGCCATTATGTCTGGGCATATAGAAAATTGAATAGCTGTGCAGTGTGCGGCACGCATACAATTAACACAATTGAATGAATAATTAAAATGGAGAAAGACTTAAGCGACGAACTTTATGCCAGCGATGAATTGAATCGCGTGGAGTTCGAGGGAGCAGCCAGTAAGTCAGTCACTCAGTCATTCAGTCAATAAGGCAGTGAGCTTCCCACCAGCCAAAATGTTAAATTACAAAAGAGCAGACATTGCATGTGCTTTGCAGATTTGGTGAAGCTGCTGAAATGATGCCATCAGCGCCAGCGAGCGACAACAATAGACAGTTCAGTACAGTAGAAACCTCTTAGAACTAATTTAAAATTAAACATTAATTAATTTAAAAAAAGTCAAATTTGATTTGAATTTAAATTTCTATGGTCCTCCAATATACCGCAAAGAAAAAATCTTCTAAATTTCCTTTTTTTTTATGTTAACTTAACTTAATTAAACTATAAATAATTAATATAGGCAAATATTAAAGTTAAATTATATAACAGTGAATTAAATCATAATTATTAGAGTTACAATATTTTAATATTTTATATTTGTATTCGTGCAAAACTGTGTAACAGCTAGAAGGATGCATTTCCAACCCTATAAAAAATATATATTCTTGATCAGGATCACTAGCCGATTCAAACTAGCCATATCTGTCTGTCTGTCTTTCCGTATGAAAACTGAGATCCCAGGAACTTCAAAAGCTAGAAAGTTGGGATTACCCACACATATTCTTGGACTTCCTACGCAGCGCAAGTTAGTTTCATCCGAGCGCCACGCCCACTCGTACGCCAGATTTTGGAAAAATATAAATGCAATTTTGTTTGTGTTTATTAATACCTATCGAAAAGTAAAACAAATTTGTCAAATCATACCATCGTTAAAAAGTTATGCCCGATCAAAGTTTTATATCTCCATCTCCCTCGCAATCCCTTTAGCTGAGTAACGGGTATATGATAGTCGGGGCACCCGACTATAGCGTTTCTTCTTGTTTTTTCTTCATTTCCATCCTTTAAAAAAAAATTAATTTCTCACCAGTTGAGTTCACTGTCACTCGGGTGTGGGCTGCTTGAGCGAGCAATGAAGATGCCAGATAGACGCTCCAGAGACAATTGTCTACTGGAGGATTACCCAACACCTGACCCGCCCCCTTGGTCCAACTCCCCTCGTTTTGGCTGGTATTCAACGGGCTTAATGGTGCGCATAATTAACTAATGTAGGTGAATCAGCCTCCTAGACCCGTGGCACAAATGAAGTGCGCAATTGTAACAGCTCTTGGTGGACCCCAAAACCCCGCCATTGGGCAACCCGAAATCGAGCCAAAGGTGTTCATGTAAAGAGGAAGAAACGCCTACTTGGACCTCATTCACTTATGGCAATTAACAGTGCTTAATTATGTACAATGCCGTTCGGTGGGTAACATTTAATATTGCCTAAAACTCACTGTTTCCACATCTTAATTGGATTATATAATAATACCAAAACTAGGCTACAAAGATATGATATATGTCATGGAAATGGAATACCAAAGTTGTATCATTTAATACTTCATTTTTATTTTACCATTATTTCTTTAACTATATTTATGTTTTCCTAGAGTGGCATGATTCGATGGGTTTTTTTATCCAAGCAATCTCAGATTTCTTCCTTCCATGGTGATCCATTTCAACATGTACTTTATCGCTTTTTGATTAGATCATGGCACAGTAAAGCTTTCTCAGCTAGTCGGTTCGGAAAACAAGAAATTCGCATTTAACCATTTAACAACCGAAGTATTTTTTGCTGACCATTTACGGCGACCTAATGAATAACTGCCTTGCTGACTGAGTAACTGACTGGGACAGACTTTATGGCATGCTGTACTCACTAAAGATGAAGAAACATTGCGAAAGACACAATGCCTGTCCTGTCCCCCAATGAAAATGAGTTGAATAATTACGAAAATTGTGAAAGAAATAAAAAAAACTGCAGTAATGGTAGCCTAACCTATTTTAGAGCAAAACCATTATTATTCTCCCAATTTTAAACAGAATCTGTAAAAAATAATTAATATTTCATATCATTTATGGCTCGACATGTGTTGACCATAATACGAAATATATTCAAATCGAAAACTTTTGAATCAGCCCCCCTGTGATTCCATGTAACTTGCATGAAATTATAAAATTCCATTGATTAATTGCTGACATGACAAATAAGTTTCGTCTAAATGTGACACAAGTTGCGCGCCCCAAACTATAGAGAAGAATAAAATTAAAAAACTAAAAATACAAAAGTATACTACAAAATAATGCCCACAATGGCAAGAACCACATCGACAGCAGGCACAACAAACAATTTGTAATTAACACGCGTGGGTCTCAGATTGAGACGATCCAGCGAGCGAGAACAAACGATATAGAAATACTTGAACAAGTTTAAATTCGAATTGATATTCACTTTTGCCACATGGTCCAGTTGCCATACAAGGCAGATCGATCCACTGTCAGCCTATGCCAAATACACAGTTGCTATCGTAACCGTAAAGCAGATAATAATAAGAATTTAATTCCATTTGCAGTTTAAAATTAAAAATATAAATAATAATAATGAATTAATTCTTTTTTATTATTTGCTCTCATAAGGTCAAACAGTGTACAGTTTTATACCAATGGAACGTACTGTATAAATGCCTTATACATTTGCGCTTCTCCGTAAAAACTTGAACTTGTCCAAAATCGTTTGACTGACTGATTTATATGAATTTTATTTATAGAATTTGGCCAGAATTGAGCAGAAAAAAAACATTTACATGCCATGTAAATTGGCTGTCCGTGTCGGGCATTTATTTAATTATTTATTTATAATTAAATTGTTTATTTAGCCGCAGATGTGGTCTTTGCCATTTTCGTTGTCCAGGAAGCCAATTAGTTTAGCTGTATTTGGCCTAAACTATTTGACGTTTCTTGTTGGCAGCATCTCTTGAGCCGTTTCCCTTATAGCTCCAAGATTTTTATCGCTTGATCTTCGGCTGTGGCAGTAGGAAATATCAAATATCCACAATTTAAGTTAATTAAGCGATTATGAAAAAAAGCTTAATCCAATGAGAAGATTAAAATGATCTTGAAATGTATAAAAAGGACAGGAAGGAAGCTCTTGGAATGTTGATAATAGCTTTCAGTCAAACATATGTTTAAATATTAGATTTACTTCGTGCAGAGATCAGACATAAACATTTTAAATTAAACAACAAATTGTGTAAGTACTCTTTAGTTTGTTATATTTACTGTGCCTCTTTTACAGCACATTTTAAATTAGTTTACCCTTTCCATTCGTCTTGAATTCATATAATCTTTGCGCTGGCTCTTTTCAATTTCCAAAGAGTTTTTTGTGTCGACTTCTGTCTTGTCAGTCGGCCCAAGACAACGCAATATTTTTTAGCTCGGCTTAACTGTGGCATTCGCTGTTGTTTCTGATGTCAGCCCATTTAATCTTTTGGCTGCAACATGTAATAGCTCTTTAAAAGGTTCAGAGCCCAAGCACACTCTCGGCTCTTGAATTGGGTCAGCAAAGTGTTATGTATGCGACTATGTATTTACTTATAGAGCATGTGAGCTGCAAGAGTCTGGCGAACCTCTTTGGTTGGCAGCCAACTTGTCTGAAGGCTTTTGGGGCATGCCACACCGCACACATGAGGTCCCGAGATGAACAGTGATTAGACGGGGTCAAAGTTTACGGGGGCTAATCGTGAGTCGAACCAAGTGAACTAACCAAAAGCGAAACTTTTGGCAAATAGGCTCTGGCAGAAACATCGCACAATATGACTCAATTTGTGGTTTTACAAAAGCGTTTTATGTTATAAGTTTTGTTATGGATTATTTAAAGCTTAGTTTTTAATTCCGAGGCTTAATAATGATTTTTAAAACAATAATAGTTCTTTGTTTTTGATCAACATATATTTTGAAATGGCGGGCAAGTCTAGCGCGTGGCAATGCCGATCTCTAATAAAATATTCAAAACATATTCCCACCATAAATGTCTCATAAATACACAATTCCTTTTTTTATGATTTGGTTTTTTGACAAAAAGGGCACGTAGCTTCGCAAATGCAAATGAGACGTAAATCAAACAAAAAATGCGAACCAGACAAGAAACACTTGTGAGACGAAGGTATTCTAAATGTTGAACATGTTAATTAAATGTTTGGTTAGGTTCATCAATAGAGAGCAAAGTTATATGTTGTTTTTTCTTTGTTTTGTTATTTATCCTTTTATTTATTAATTTACTAATGAAGTGTCTAAAAACTAAGTGGCTCTTTCGAAGCCTAAATATTTTAAATTCTCAAAAAAATATTTCCAATTCCAAAAATTAGAAAAAATTGCAATTAACTTTTTGCCATGCGCTTCCTAAAATTTTATGCTTCCACATCAGCTGTCTCACCTGTTTGAGTGGCGGCGCCGGAAGCCGCAGGCAAACGTCAACAGTTGAACCTTTGCCCATTACCAAGGCGTGTCTCCAAATCCAACATACAAAAAAAAAACAAACAAAAACCTCTTCTTCATGCTTTGCGGCTAATTAAACATTTTCTGTGTTTTTATACCCTTTTTTAGGGTAGTGTGATTTCGAACTGAAGTCTTGAGAAATCATATGTATATTAATTAAGGTTTTTGTTGAATGAAATATAATTTTTTCTATGATACCCTTTGCAAACTAATTGTGTGAATTTCAAACGTATTATTTTTTTAATCCAAAAATTTAAAACTATAACCGAATACTTTGATAAGCCACACTTTAGCCATTCCATTCAAAATATTTCTAAAATGCACAATGGAATTTCACAGCCAAGCGAATAATCTCTTCTAACATCTTTGTCACACGGTGTAATTATCGAATTAAATAGAATTACTAATCAAAATTTAGTGAGAATTGAACACCAAAATATTCTCTTATAAACCAAGTGTATTTAAACATTTAATTCTGCAAAAGTTTGGCTTCTTGTTTTGGTTTTTTTTTCTCGGTTTGTATTTAGCAATTAGTCAGGCATGCACCGTCTAGTCAAATTCAGGAAGATTGTCAAAACACGTACAACAATTTGTTTGAGGAAGCACCCAGGTGAACACACAAAAATATGAGCTTACCTTTTTTTGTGGGTTTTTTTTGTGTTATGTATATTTTTTAATGATTTTTTGTATATTATGTCTGCGTGTGGCACGTGGTGGACCCAATGATGGAGTGATATTATCGGTTACGCCCATTTTCTGCCCATTAGTTGAAGCATTAATGTGTGAAGCTTGGACTTTTTTGTCGTTTGCTCTTCGACAAGTCATTGGCATTTAAACTTGTATTTAAATTTTTATGATATTTTTTTTTAAATCTTTAATTTTTTCCTTTCCAATTAGTACATCATATTATTTTAATCCACAAACAAAGAAAATGGAGCACTAAAACTGTTACAAGAAACCACCAAATACAGGGAACAAATAACACTTTGAAATGCAATTTGTAGGCCCAGCGACGACAGCCCACAACTCGTGCCATAACTTTCAAATGCGATTTGTTCAAAAATTTGTTCCAGAAAGAGTTGAGGGCAGGGAACGGCATGACAACAGCTCGCCATGCTACCAACCGACCGACCAACGAATGCAACTAATTCGCGGATCCGAATAAGTCCAAATCCAATTTCAATTGCATTGCGAATGCGGCAGCCAGAGCCACGTTTTTGAACTGTGCAACCCCGAAAGGGTCAAGTGGCGCGTGTAGCGAAAGCCATGGCTAAAAACCTTAAACCCCTGCCAGCAGCAGTAGCCGATGCAAAGGCCTTTACAGAGTTTTATGCCTCACTTATATGGCCACCCACTGAAGGGTTTTACTCATAAACACTGAGGAGAACTGATCTGCCAGCCGAGAGCATTCGATCTTCATGCCCCAGTGCGTGGCGAGACCTTACTTGCGGCGTCTGAACTTGACATGCATATATAGACTCGTGGATATATCGTCTCAGATCCCCCATTCCCCTTTTGATCATGATTAACCGGCTGGTGCGTGTTGCATGAGTGCTGTAGGTAGGGTAGTAATCATTCTAGACTGCATTGGGCTCGTCCCACGTTCAGCATTGAGATACTCGCACTCGCATATCGAAAGTGTGCTGTTCTAATTAATGGCTTAATTCGCTCGCCCAGCGTGGCCCAATGACACCTTAAGGCTAAAAACAATAAATGTTTAATTAGCCAGAGCCACAAGCGTCGTAAAAGTATTACAATAAAACCCAATTTCGATGCAAGACCCATAAAGTCTGGTTCAATGGCACGTAAAGCTTCGACAGGCCTTACGTTACGTTAAAAATGCCGGTTGGATGTCAGACAAAAGCCGGTTGAAAAAGAGCAAATTGGTAAGAGAGCTTCGAGCAGGGTTGTCGAGCTGGCCAAAGATTCATGGAAACTTTAATGGTAGGAGGGAAAAATTAAAAAATAACTGGAAATCATTTTTTTTAATATTTAATATATTACTTGACTCTACCAAGATTATATTTTCTTTAAGTAATATAGGTGCAGTTGAGGATAAGACATGATATCATTTGTTAGCGTTTAACCTATAGATATATTTCAATTGTTATGAATTTTTATTGTGCAGCTCCTTTTTGAGAAAGACACAATAAATCAACGTTTTCCACAATGAGTTAAGCACAGTGTGTAGGAATGGTTATTGTAAGCCATAATAAACACACTTATCCCCCTGCGAAAAAGTGGAACTAAGCCAAAGAGCGGCTTCAACTAGGCTCTCTTTGTGACTTTGTATCTTTGTATCTCAGGTATATACAAGCTCTTTCTGCCGGAGAGCCGCTCCCAAACTGGGCTGACATCATCGAGAGACCCCGTCTACGAACCTGGCCAAGTTGAAAAACTATAGCCAGATTGTCGGAGGCATTTGTATTTAATGCGAGGTGCGAGCGCGAAACTCTTTTAGTACAGCGTTGGCGTGCGAGACAGACGGTTGTTCGGTTTTCTGGGCAGCTCTAAAACTTGAAAACGAGTTCGTTATAAAGCAAATATTAATGTGTATATAGCTGTGTGCGCGAGCAGACACCGTATGAACACACACTTTTCGGTGCCGAAAATAAAAGTATACAAATAATAATCTAGAAACAAAAACACGAGTAAACATTAAACAGTGGTTGGCTGGGATGTTGTGACTTCGAGTGAAGCCAGGCGTAGAGTGTGAAATGCAAAATTGGCGAATTCAAGACCCCGAGATTACTGAATCCGTCTCGAAGACTGAGCGGCCTCGAGTCCCCAAAAAACAATTGCAAAGAAAGTGAAAGATCAGAGACAAAAAAGGAAAAGTCCGAGAAAGGGAAAGGTTGTGGCTACTCGGGTTTGTCTTTAGATGCTCCGTCAGGTGCAACGATTAGAAGCCCCCACTTCCAGCCCCCGAAAAACAGCTGTTACACTCAGACAATCGCCCACTGATCATTGAAACTTTTGCCAAAAAAAATACTGAAAACATTTTCAATAATTTTTGTCCAATGCCTAGCTGACTACGCGTTTTTCGTATTCATCGAGAGCAGACAAAAAATATTAAAAATTAAAAAAAAAATTCCCCTATACCACGCGTTTTTTTATTAAGTCGAATTGTCATTGATTCATTGAGCCCCTTGTCTGTGTGCCTTTGTGTGTGTGTGCCTGTGCGTGTGTGTGTGTTGGTGAATACAATCAACGGAGCACGGCGAAAAAAAGGAGAAAAAAGCGGCCAAGCGACATTGATGCCAATCGCCAGTGCATTTGTTGTTGCTTTTTGCATCGGACCAGAATATAATGAAATAAAGCCAAATAAAATATAAGCTAAAACGCCTTCAGTGGACTTCGGGCTGGAAAGAGATATCAAACGGACAGGTACGTGCAATTCGTCTCATTTTGATTTATTTGAACTAAACCCAGGGCAATAAATTGTTATGTATATTTTGCTAGACTTTATAGACATTGAAACTCGCATGCATATTATCAGAAACTCGGTGAGAGGATTTAGTACCCAAGACAAATTGCTATCCAAAAATCAAGCAACTAATGAGTAAATCTCTATGGTTGATGATGCAATAAATCAGTAAGAAAATTGTCCAGAACTCGATATTGAGTACTAACATGACCTATCAAAAAATAATAATTAATTATAATGTTTGTTTTTTAAGTTCTTTAAAAACATTAAACATATCCAGGAAAAGTACAAGTTCTATTCCTCAAAATCTTCCATGTTGAGGTCATTGACTATAACATTTTATTTTGACTCGCTGTTAAATTATTTCTTATTCAAAACTAAAAAACATTGCAAATGAAAGAAATACATTCTCTTTTGTGCCAAGAAACCATTCCCATAATTATAATTATGATTTCCGAACCCATTTCGCCCTGCTCCATTTTAAAGGCAGCCAACAATGGAAGAGAACATTCTTATGCTTTCCTTTGTCTGATTTATAAAGTTATTTTTCTCAGTTAATTATTTGGTCTGCACATTATTTTCGCCTGCCATGATATTTTGTTTACCTCAAATTTGGCCAATTTATTATCTTACCACCTCCACCCAACTCATCAGGGTTCATTAGGAAAAAAAATCACCCCGTGCATATAGCGTGATTCATTAATATATTTTTGAACAATTGAGGGTCAATGATTCTAAAGCTGGGCATGAGTTCACAGATTGCCCATTAGTCATCGAAGTTTCTCTCACTCAAGCCTTATGGGGATAGTTGTCTGGATTTTTTTTCTTTGTCTCAACTTTACATATTTATTTATATAAGAAACCCAATCCTAACGGACTCTTTTTATCTAGACCGAACCTTATTTTATATTTATATCAATATCCAGCGATTTCGCGGACGACAAATGTCGCATTAGGAACTTATGGCATGCATTAGTGCAAATTACCATTTGGGCTCAAAAGGTGTTGGCCCCAATTGTCACCTCCGAAAGATATTGAAACGGAAAACTGGGTGCGGAACTGCGGGCTTATGGCATATTGCATTACCTCGTCAAAAAACCGCGATAATAGTTGATTTCTTTGCCTCCACGCCGTCTTCTATATGTATTTTTATGGGCACGCGCCTTTTGGTCGTTTTATCGGTCGTGCTGAATGTCAGAGTTAGAACTTGAGTTGCCCGTGGCAGCCGAGGTTGACATTAAGACCATTTCAACACCGCAGCGAGAGACTTTTTAATTAAGCTGAAGTTACCAATGGGTTATGACAAAAATTAAAAGTGGGAAGGCAAAATCCTTATTGAATGGATTCCGAATTTGTCGAGCTTCTCACGTTTATTGTCTCATTTTGTATGCAAAAATTGCAAGTGACACTTTACTTTACACACCCTTTTCGACCAGAAAAGGTTTAATGGTTGATGCTGCCCAAAATTCATATTATGTGGAATTTTGTTTTGCATTCTGAATAAGTTTTAATGATATTTTTGACATTATTGAGTGAGGATAAAAATGTATTCCCATTGTGATATTTTTTCAAACGAAATACAAATAAATCATACAAAAAGTATAAACAAAGCTTTTCAAATTCATAATTATTAGCTTTGCCTTTTATGGCTGAGGCATAAATAAAATTCTTTATAAATCATTTTCTAGCAAATGCTTCCAATGAACTTTGCCAGGTCGTTTGCAATTCGTTTGCATTTCGCAACCAAATATTTATCTTTTGGCATTAAATGTTGGGGCTAGAACAGGATGTTCATAGACGTGATTCATAGTAAATTTGGAATTAAAGCCGGGTTCAAGGTCTTTTGCTGGCTATGATGATATCGAAAGGCTTAAAATTAAGGTAAAAGACTGCTGCTTTGCAGTCCTTTCATTTTTCATCATCGCCAGCCGTAATTAAACCATAAACACCTCAAAACATGCTACCATATTTAACACACTGCAGAACCCCACACATCGTGGCGGTGACCCACCCATCACAACTGCCAAACGACCCACACGACACACGATTTCTTGTTTAATTTTTCATTTTTTCCAAGACAATGCCAAATCATTGAGCAGCCAAAAAACTGCAGCAAACAAACACCTCCGCAAAACAGACAGCGACCACGATCCGCTGAGCAGTGAATAGTGAACAGTGGTGGAGGCCCAGCCTATAGACATGTTTAATCAATTTAAATTACCTTCAATTAGGCTCTTTGTTCGCGGTCCCGTGGACATTGCGAAAAGTCTTCGGCTCGGCATCTGCATAAATGAAATGCAAATGAGGAAAATGCCACTAATTTGTTTAGATTCCCGAAGTCTGAAATGGATGCATGCCTATCTCAACTCCGGAGTTGGCCAATGCTGGCAATTAAACATTTAATAGCTTCATTCGATATGCATAATGGCCAGAGTCTTTCGGTCTCTCAAAAGGGGACTGTGGTGGTGGGTGTCGGCTCTGTTTGGGGTTTATAAAAATGCAAATGTTCCCTTGAGTCATAAAGTGTTTTGATGGAGAATCGAGTGCCGACAGATTGGTGAGGGGCTGAGGAAGTTGTGATTAGAATTTATTGTTTGCTCTGAGTGATTTTTTGATGTCTTTTTAAGCTGATCATAAAGGCGATTAATAGTATTTCTTATTCGATTTCTTTTAATCAGGGCTAATAAAAGTGTCATGAAATGTATGAGCTCAGAATTTAGTTTACTTATACATTGTAATTTATTTACATATATTTGGTAATGTTTAAATTTTTAAAATTAAAATAATACGGAATTTTCTTGTACCTATTCATTACATTTTTCATTTTGATAACAATATTTTTTGAATGCATAAATGCACTTTCTTATTTTGGGACTTACATTTTGTTTGCATATAAACCAAGTTTACTTAAGCTTTACTAATCTTTAGCAGATTTAAAGATGTCAATAACCCAAAAGCTGCAAATCCTCTGAAAAACATCTTAGCTTAGACAAAGCCAATAACAAACGGCTTTGCCAGCCAGTCCAAAACGAACGACTTAGGACACAAACTTGAAAAAAAATTGCCTTGCCGCAAATGCATATAATTAATCTCTTTATCCAAACTCAGCGACTCAGTGCTCTAAGTGAAAGTTTTCCATGGCCAATCGTCTAAATATCAAAGTGTCTGCGATCGTCAACTGTCACTTGAATCCAGCTCCCATCCTGCTGGTACCATTTAAATGAGCCATCAAATCGGCACCCCAACCGAGACGCGTCTCCTGAGCCGTGTCATTGAACCAACAAATCAAAGCCGCTTACCAAAAGTCGCAGAAAAACTCTTAGTTTACAGTCGTCAACGCGCAGGATTGATGACAAGCCAAGCAATGCCAAATGACAATTATTTACGCGGCAAAGTGTCATAAAATAGAGGAATGAAAAGGCTAAAAAAAATAAATTCAACTAAAACCAGAAACCAGAGCCAAATGACAGCGAACAAAAAGCCGAAATGTGTTTATTGACGTCATTCCATGGAACCAACAGGCCGACAGGCAAAAAACTTTTGATGTGGAGAAAATCCAGGCTCCGTCCGGGTTTTTGGCGGGAGGATCCGAGGGAGCGGACTGGCCAACCAACGCCACCCGCTGAGCCGTGGCCAAAGCCAACGCCAAAAACTGCTTGCGAATTGTAATAATTGCAAACAATTACAGAGACACTAAGGCGAGATGGAAAAAATGGGAGCCATGGAGAAGTGGTAGCTGTTATAACAACGACTTTTGGATACCCCTTAAAAAATAAGTTTGAGTAATTCAAAAATTAAAAATTGAATTTTTCTAAAAATTGTATAAGTTGTTCAACTCCAACCTTTGATCACAAGCGTTAACTGTTTGAAATAAATTCGTTAACATTTTAAAGGTAAATTAATTAAATATGCTGTTGAAATATAAATAGGGAAAACTTGTAATCGACAAACTTTTTTCTTACACTTTATAATTTGAACTCCATTCCACCTAATAATGCCTAATAAAATCAAATACCCATTGTTAAAAACACTCATTGGATACCATTTCGGGGACATCAAACTCTTGGTATTGTCTTGCCTGAGATTTGGCCAGAGTTTGCGGAGCATATTAGCTCTGATCTGGGGTTAGCTTCTTGTAGCCATCATATGGGTGCAGGGAAGCCATATTAAATCCCATTAGTTGAGGGTTC